AAAGATGCTTAGAGATACTTAGTTTTAAAAAAGGTACTTTTGGTTTCGGTCTCTATCCTGTTTATTTATATTGTTGCTTAGTAATGTGTGCAACTCTTAAACGCCTGTCCTTCTCGAACTTCAATAGGTATTCTGCTGTTTGTAGGACATTTTAACAGAATACTCATTTCGGGATTTTTTGTTTCTCGCATGTGGTTTTGTGGTATTTCATTTTGCTTTGACATTGCTCTTGATTTCTGTTTTTAGTGTGTGCATAATATTTTGTCGCTAAAATATTCTCGTTATCACTAGAGTGACTAACTTCATGAAATTAATTCCATGAAGTTGGTCACGAACCGCCTTCGGAAGGGAATCCGGTCCGGGTACGTTTTACGTACACGAAAGTTTGATTGGATTGTCATGGCTAGGGCGAAACGACTTTATGTCAGTGTTGCCTGCGCGCCGTCCATCTTCTCCAAACAGTTGACATATTTTCGAAATAAGGCAAGAAAGTTTATGAAACTAAATACAATGTACCTTTATTTCACCAATTTAAGAAAGCGCGCTATCATAACAGAACCACATACGTAAGATTCGTGCTTTTCGTAGTCTGTGTTTTGCAATTTCTCTCGCGCACTCTTTCGCAATGCGGATGCAAGATTTCCTGGGGTAGTGCTCCGCCCGCCAGCCTTCGGGCCCTAGTCCATCATAGGATCAGCAGGAGTATAGCTTGTGGACGACTCTTGCCGGCCGTGTTTATGTCTCCGGTTGCTGGGAATTTGCCCGTGGCGAAGCTGTCCAGATAATGGCCTATTGTCGGGCGATCGAAGATAACTTTTTGGTGCTGCTTGGCTTGTGATTGCCATAATCAATCAGAGTAAATGAATAAATACAAACACTTTCTGTTTCAAATCGTCCAAAAAGGCAAGGAGTGCGTCATCTCGCCATGAACTTAGGTACCTGGCTATGAGTTGAGCTATAATATTAGGCCGCGCTTATGCACCTGGCTGTTGTTTCAGTCTGGTGGGAGGGAAAACATTGAGGCTATTGAGGCAAAAAAAAAAAAAAGAGAGTAGTTGATCTTCTGTCTTTGTATGCTAACATCGATGCAGGTGTAAGTCTGAATGCCAGGCACTGGCCTAGCACGGGCTCGAGGACAATGTGTGGTACCCGGCACGAACCGGCCCGCAGACAGCCAGCCCATGCAGTGGTTTACTGTGGTGTCACGCGACACCGTGACGTCACGCAACACTGTGACACCACATGACCTTGCAGCGTCACGGCCCTACACGAAACGCACACGGCATCCACTGGAATACCTGGCCGATAACGGCTATCAACGCGGAAACAGGGCGGTCAATCTTTTCGGCAGGAAACGCATCCCAGCGTTAGGCTTTCCTTTTGCTTTTATCTCAGGGGTGGGACAGTGGCGCAAGTTGCGCCAATTCGGTACCCGCAGAATTTTCTGCGCCTCGCTGCTCCAAAACCGAAAAGTCCACTAAAATACGCCGTGCTGCGTCAAAATTTGGAATGACGCTTGATTTAACGGAAAATTCTATCTTTTCGGTTTGAAAGTACTTCTGCAGAAGCTCCCGTTGGTCAACAAAGTCATCCTGGATTATGGAGTGCTACAATGCTGAAATGGGAGTGCGGTCTTTGCGCTCTCTTGAAGCACAGCTGCCTGAGGTCTTGAGCAGTGATCAGGCCTCATCATTTACAATGGCACAATTTGAAACGTGGTGATGAAAAGAGCAATCCCTATATGGGAGAAAAAAAATGTATGGTTACTGGGCAGAAACTAGCTGTTTTCCTGAAGTGACCAATAAAAGAACAGAACTATCCCCTGCTGCCTAGGCTTGAAAAAAAAAAAGATATTCTGTTTTCCCCACGGCAATGCGGACTGTGAACAACTATACATCCATGGATGAAACCTCATCATTATTAGAATTATTATTAGAATTATTAGAAGCATTATTAGAATGCACCCAATCAAGACTTACCTTCGACGCCACGAAGGGGATGTCACTAAGGTACCTCCCAGTCTTAATGCCTTGACCTGATTAGAAGCGTCAGGGAATATCGGGCAATGTATGTACAGAGGACGAGGGTTGAATGACGTAGCAGCAAGCGGAAGCCAGCAGAAGCTGGCGGTGGTCGGAAGCAATGCAGGCAGCAGAGAAGAAGGCTTTGGAAGAACAGGTAGCAGCAAGTAGGGCGTCACTTGCTAGTGCGGAACTGATAAGATCCGGTGTGAAGAAAGCGGACATGGACGACGTACAAAGTGGAGATGTACTCCTTGCCAAAGAAAACTGTATCCTTGAGCATGCGCTTAGAAGGCTTGAGGAACTGAACAAGCAGATCTACAAAAAGCCAAATCATTAACGTTCCCGACACGTCCCCTTCACTTTTAAACGCAATTTATTCATAAAATAAAACACGTTTCTGAATGCAATTTTAAACATTTCACAATACTTTCCAACAACTCATGGTAAAACTGGCTAAGACGCTTTAACATGATATCACAATGACTCCTAACGTGCGTCAAAATATTGATCTCAAAATCCGAGTGCTCCAAAGACCAGGTTTTCTTTAACCTGAATTGCACCAAAATGCAGGATTTTCTGCTCAAACAAATTCCCCCGAAACCAGTTTTGTCTGTCTCACCCATGGATGTAGGAAGCTTCTGAAAGCGACATGACTCCACCAGTGGTGAAGCCGGGGGAAACTTCCGGTTTAGAGGAACACGCCACTAATCATACGACGCTATTGGGCGGACTTGTGCACCCTTGGGGGCGTTTCCACGAATTGCGACCTTTACTTCCGGCTTCACTTGGGATTTTCTCGTTCAGTTAGCTTGATCCGGAGTGTCGCCTTCTTTTATTGCTACCTCCACGGTCCCACCCCTCTTATCCAGATTCCACACGAGGACATATCCATAGGCAGATGAGTTTTCATTAAAAAAAATGCTTTGTGGTCTGACAACACTGAGAGCGTCGCCATTTTAATGTTGGCAAGCGTTGTCGGTACCGAAACACGGTGGAGGCATCGGAGACAGCCGTACGGGCAATGTGCGATGGCGCAGCAACTTTTTTCTGCCTTCTGACCATATTATGCGGACGAACAGTTTAAACAATCTATCGCAAGTGTCTGACAAAACTCTCGAAGGCCTGTGCACGCTGGGGACAACCTCGCCGAAGCAGCGGACCAAGTCCTACGCCTTCACTGTGGAAGCTTGTCGTGGTCAGCGGGTGCACAGGCCTCCGAAAGGACTGGACCGTCATGTCCGATCATGTTTGAGAACATTTTTAATTCTTTTCTCGATGCGAATACGCTTGAAGTCGTGCTGTTTAGCGGTATACTACTCCAAGCGAACACATGACTAAACATTTTTTTTTATTTTTTTTAGTTGTTACTAGCGGAGGCGTTTTTGGTGGAACGCTCTGTGTTCTTTTAAAAGAAACTGTGCCCTGGGCAATATTTTTCAAGCGTTGCAAAGGGCTAAAATCGGTGTCAGATAGCATTGCCCTCAAGCACAGTTGACGGATGTTGCGCTACAACCCTGACAAAATAACTGCAGTGACTTTCTCAAAACTACCCCCGAGCTTCTTTGCACAAAACAAAATGTCTACCTCGGCTGCGAGAAAAAGAAAAACAAGAAAAACAGGTTGTAAAATGAAGTCGGCACCGCCCGTGTTGCTTCATTCGACGTCCGCAACGAAAGATTTTGCCAGCGCCGTCATTGAAGTTTTAGCCACTGCAATGAACCTAACCATACCACTATTAACCATACGCATCTTCAATTATGTTTGTGCGTTGTAGTATCGGCCCAGGCCGATACTACAACGCACATTAAAGAAAAAAAGAAGTTCCTAAACGAATTTGGTACAACTTCGTTAGAAGATTAGGGCCCAGTCCAATAGTTGTAAATGGCTTCACGCCGCGCGATAACGTCCGCTTGTTTCTTCGCGTTGTCGTACCGATTGTTTTTGTCAAAAGCTGCCTCTCAAGTAACAAATAAAAATAAGGAAAAAAAGGTGAACCCTGTTCATGTTTGCGTTCACGTCACGCACGAATCAAAGTTTTATCGCTGCACCCGCAGCGGTACACAGCAATCGTTGGCATCGCATCTCTCGCACGAAGCGCGGTCGCTTCTTTACATGGGGTCTTTGCCGGTCGGGTCTCTGGTTTCGTTTTCTCGCCACTAACAAGATGGCGGACGTAGTTCTCGGCGCGCTACTAGATGGCGCTCTACATTTCGCATATGGCCTATTCAAATTTCTCGACTCTTTCATATGTTGGTTCAGATAACGATTCTGAAAAGGCAGAACTTCCTAGGTTTTTCTTTTTACTACTCCTGTTCATTTTTGTGAATCAACAAAACATAACACAGGGCTGTCATCAGTGAGCGCATGACTCGTACTCGGGTCACACGCCAAACTCTCGTATGTTTTTTGGAGTGTGCAAGCAAACACAACAAAAAAACTTTTTCTTGGGCTTCTTTTGTGTATGTGTTTTCTGGCAGTCGCGGACGTTCACTTTAATGATGGTGCGTGGAACTTGTCTCCGACATGGGTTCACCACTTCCTGAAAAGGAGTCCCTCGAGTTCCACCAGATGACGCCATAGAAGTGCCATGCTTTCGCCGGCCGTAACCTATAGGGTGTCTAGTAAGGGTGGTGGATTTGGACGACGCCTGTTCTATCGCAGACCGTTCTCCAGCTTGACAAACCACGAAATCTTCTGCAGCCAGGGGCTGGGACGCCGCGACGACGGCAACACACAAATTCCCTCGTGTTTTTTTTTTCTCCGAGCACGACACAGCACGACAATCCGGCATTATTTGTTTCCCTTTCGTGACCACTTCCGATGCGCGGGTGGAATTGCACCTGTTAAGATGGAAGCTTGCGCAGGTTGGTTCGCCTGTGCTTGTATTTCTATGTGCCCTCTCCTTTGGTCTTTGTTTAATACGCGCTGTTGCTACTAATAGCGAATAGAACGCTGAACGTACCAGTTGGAGACGCGTTCCAGACACCGTAATTTTAATGTGTAATCTGCGTTCCTCGTACAACATACTAGGGTTTTTTAGGGAGCCGTTTTTGCACAGCCGATATGGTCCGATGCGCCCTCCCGCACAAGCTGCGCATTTTGTGCCGGAAGGCCCATCGTACCCTATCGAATGTGCAAAGACGGTTCCCTACAACTCTCTACTCCCGCACTACAGTCACGGTGAACGTGCACTCGGTCGACAACCGAGCAGCGTCGGTAGCCCTGAAGCGAATCGCCGTCTGGCCGATCGGGAACCTCCATGGGGACACGATGTTCTCGGGGTCCTGCTGGATTTCGGGTAGCACTCCGCTGTTGTCTCTTGCCTCTGGCTGTTTCCACATGACAATGGCACCCCTCCTCCCAGCACGAACGGACTGGGTTATGTTGGCAGGGCACCGAATCACGGGCTCTTCATTGTCTGGACCGCAAAGAAAGTTACTGACTACGTGATTATACTTCGAAGTCCAGACGCAGCCGAAGCTAAGAGCTAATGGGACCAAGCAAGCAGTGTCATAAGCCCTAATCATTGAGCCCTTTTGTATTTATGATCGGTTCCGCCATGATAGAATACCTACGTACATAAAACACGACGAACATCATGAGAGTGCGCTTTTGACGATGTCTGATCGATCCCTTCAGCTCGTAGCATCAACTGCGTCTGGAGTCAACGTGTAACGAAATGCAGACCTTTCCAAAAGTTGCCTAATGCGCGCTGCGTCTTTTTTCTGCTGGGCTGTGGAACGCCTTTTGAGCATGCGCTTCACCCTTGTTCCGCGGTATATCAGACGCTACTCCTGCGTCCACGGCTCAGTGACTAGGCATTTTTTGCTCGAGGGATAAGTCCTGCGGCCCTAAACTCCTCAAAGAAAAAGTTGGAGCCGAAAGTTCACGAAGCTCGCCGATTAGATGCTGGCGACAAAAGCGCGAAGTCATCGTCGTGATAATCCGATCGGTGCGCTCTGAGAGCTTCGGCCCCAAATTTGTGTTTGATGAGTTTCGATCTCCTGGAAGTGTCTACGGGGAGCCGAAGTTCGTCTGGTCTTTTTGCAGGTGCTGTGCTGACGTCAGAAAAACGCCGAGTTCTCATTGGCTCTTATTGAAGGATAGTGGGTAGACCTCAAGGCAGCATGCTTTAAGGTCTATCCCCTATCCTTCAATTGGAGCGGGACCAAACCTAGGAACGGCCCCTGTGACACGAGGAATGCCAAGCAGTTTGTGCCTTGTGTTAAGAAGTCGCCTATACGAGATTCCTCTCAGCTGTGGTAGAGTCTACTTTGGACAGACTGGTCGCTGTTTGAACGATAGGCTGCGTGAGCACGCGGCCTCGCTCGGCAGTGGTCAGGGTCCCCATCTACCTATACACTGCAGGGATTGTGGGTGTTCTCCTGCGTTCGACAACACAAAGGTGGTGGGACGCATGAGGGGCACGTTGGAGAGAGAGAGATCATGGAAGCATCCCGTATACCTATACTTGCCTGTGGACCAGATCACTGCATTCGTGTCGCGTCAGTGCATCGGACCAACAGGGAATTTCTCAATTGTGACCGCCCTTAGTAAACTGTACACGCGATCTGTAAAGGTCTAATTTGTGTCCTGAACGCGGTGTGCACGTGGTGTGAACGTGGAATGTACGCAGTGCATGATCTTATTGTTTTCTTGTGCCGCTGTCAGAATTTTAATACTTTAATATTTATTCTGGTCCCGCGTTTTGCAACGTCCTTCTAGTTCCGCTGTTTCATCTTTAATAGCATTTATCTCCTTTGAAAGAAAAAGAAAAGTTTGTGCTTGCGCGGGTCACTGTGCGCGCGTGGAAGTTATAGCAAACCTTCGGTTGTTAGTCGGCGTATGTCCTGTGTCCTTCTACTTTGTGTCCTGTCCCTTTTGCGCTGTTTCTCATTATGTCATTCAACCAACCAGCCCAGCAAGGTACCCTGTTACAGTGGTTTTGCTGACACCTTTGAGCTTCCGCTGATTTCCGAGAGTAACGGCTTTGCGTTATAAGAATTGCGCAACGCACTATAGACTTTAGCCACCTGGTTCCGTGCGCATCGCCAGGGATGCGTGCAGCTCGAAACTTTACGGAGTTAGTTGTTTTCGCAGTCCCCGGCCCGGCTCCTGGTGCAGCCCCACCGCTGGCAGCGGAGAGTCCCCGGCTCAGTTCCCGGCGACTTCAGTTTGCGTACGCAGGGTGCCCTCTAATTCTGTTAGTAGCACCGCGTAGCCGGCATTCCAACTTGAGCCTCCCACCCTGCGGTAGGCCGGTTAATGTACGTAGGCAGCCGAGTCCAGATACAATGAGGACCCGGCCAAAACCTGTTTTCGGGGACCATTGGTTCCCCTCGGTGGCAGTGTGTCGACCGAGAACATTGATCTCTCCCTTTGACCTAGCCATACTGCGGGAGGGCGAAGAGATGTTTGCTGGGTGCTGCGTGGGCTCTTTTTTCCGTCATTCAGGAAGATGCTCGTGCTAGGGAGCCTTCATGCGAAGTGCACATGAAGGCACCCTAGCTCGTGCCTCGCTGTTCCCTGCCATCCCCCACTACGTGCGACGGCGGAGTACACGCCGAGAGGCTGGGCGGGACCTGCCGGATGTGCGTCATCGCTGACGCTGCCAGGAGTTTGCGCACCTAACGGCGACCAAAGCAGTAGACGGGGGAGGCTCAGTTCCGGCCGAGGCAAGATGGCCGCTTTCGTCCTTCGGGCGTCGGACCTCACCGAGGCGCCCAGCTGAACCAGGCTTCCTGATGCGAGCCTGGTCACGGATGTCACCTGATGCCGGCCCCGACGTGCGCCTTCCACTTTGGGGATCGGCGTTCCCCTTGCCACTAGTCTCCCGCACTTGAGAGTGACCACGGGCGGACGTCGACGCGCGTCCCTGTGTCCGCTTCGACAGAGGGGCCCACGACGAGTCGACTACGTGCAGAGAGCCGAGCAGCACCGCCGAACATCCACGTCTACATGCTCCCTGGGCCGGTTTTCTCGAAGCGATGGTAAACCCATTTTGGTAAACCACGGTGCCTAGGAAGGAAAAAGTGCCTAGATACTGTAACAAACGACTGGATATAGAACAACAATAATTATTTTTGATTGGGCAGTAAAATGCGCCATCTATCGGTGAAACAAGCCAGTCATTTTGTTTATCCTCTTTTTTCCGCTGGTTGTTATCGATCTAGTATGGTATTTTAAGTCAAAATATAGTAATGTTGTACTTGAAGACCAATTTATTTGCTTCAGATGGTACGAAGAAATTTTAGCTACTATGCTAGAGTTTGTCGACGAATATTTGAAAATGTAAGAAACATTTCCTTCAATATGTTTCGCCATAAACAACGCATAACTTTACCGTGTGCCTTCCAGTCTGGCAACGCCGGTGCTGTAGTCTCGTTTTTGTTCCTTGCGACACACGTTTCTGCGATTCCTGCAGATCTCAACTGTTTGCCCTCTCTTCCGTTTGCCCAACCGATCCACCGGTGACGAGAAGCTAAGCTTCTCGTCACCGTTCAATTGCTGGCTACCGGGGATATGTAGAAACCTCGATGCTGTCAGCATACTGTCGGCGCACTGCGAACAAAAAAAACAGTACAATAACCCCTTCTCCGCAAAGTAATCGCTGCTCACGAGTTGGCGTGCATAGTGTAACAAATTAAACGTGTTAGTATAAATATATACAAACACTCCTTCGCAAAACATACTTTTCTTACCATAAAAACACTTGCGAGGCTTGTGTACCGTCATATGTCTTGGATCTCGGACTGCTGAAGAGTGATGCGTTCGCGAAATGCTGCCGTCGGTTAGTTTAGTAGTCCCTCTGAACTACCACTTTGCTTGACGTGCTGATAGGTTTATGGTGCGTCATTAATATAACAGCCGGATCGAAATGAATGTTCAGCAGAACCAAGCAGAACTATTAGCCCTCATTAAGCGACGTCGCGGCCATTTTACTTGTAGTACTGCTCCTCCCTCGGCGCCCCTGCTCTCTCAGTCACGTGTAGATTTCCCACAAATAAGCGACCCCTTAAAGAAAAAAAAAGACGACGACGAGACCTCGTGAGCCGGAGCACTGTGTGTGCACGAGCACGTGTGAGACTGGAATGCCTGTGTGGCGATCGTGACCGACGAAACCACAGCCTGTGTGGCCACTCCAACCGCTTAAGTATTAAAACGTTACTTTTATCTTCTTTCTACTAATGCGAGTACCCTTTTTCTACCTTCTGATCTGAACGAAGACCAGAAGTTAACACACGTGACCTGGAATTTCCCCTTCTAGGGACAATAGTTAACTTTAACCCTCGGTTCGCGTTTGAGAAAACGGGCCCTGATGCTGGCCTGGTCACGGACGTCACCTGATGCCGGCAACGTGGTGCGCTTTCGACTTCGGTGGCCAGTTTTTTCCTTGCCGCTGGTCTCCTGCACCAATGTCCTGAGAGTGACTATGGGCGGACTTGTACGCGCGTCACCGTGACCGCTTCGACGGAGGTCGGCCCACAACGAACGAGTCGACGACGTGCAGCGTGTGCCGAGCAGCTTTCCCAGTGAGTGCCGATCTGCGTTGCGGAAGAACTTCGCGTCGGACCGTTCGTTCGTCCGACATCGGGAACTTTTCTTGGCTTCGTTCGACGGCACCGGAGTGCTTCGCCCCACGAGTGCGTCGTGAACCCCGGTACGCCGAACATTTACGGGGGCGGTTCCGGGGGCTGCCGGGGCAACCGACCCCGGGATCTTGTATTTGTAAGCGTAACTGGCACCCGTGTTGTCAGCGTGCAGGTCTTGTATTTCGGGGGTTTGAGAGCCGGCGCATCGTTGTTTGAAAAGGGTGCCAAATGTTTTAAGGACCGGGGACGGGGGATTGTGGGAGCCACTGGTTCCCCTCCTCCGAAAAGGCGTAAGCCGCGGACGTGCCTGCCGAAGTTGTTTGGATTCGCGCTGTCTCGTCCCGTGTCGTGTTAGAGAGAGTGCGCCACCTTGCTGGCCTACACTCTCGCGCTCCTCCGCGCGTCTCCCGTTTCGGGCGAACCAGAGAGATCGCGCAGGGGAGAGTCAGGCCTGCCCTCCGAGTGGACAGCCATGTGGTCGAGGAGTCCTGGATTGTACTCCAGGCAACGGGTCGAGTCGCGGCGCGAGCTCGTCCGACCGGCGATGACTCCACGCTAGCGACTCCTCTGGCTCTGACAGTGGGCGTCCCCTCTTCCTAGTGGAGGTCCGTCTGCCGAGAGCCCTGGCCCCGAAACTCCTGCGACGACGGGTAGCGGCTTGAGCTCGTCTGACCGGCGATGACTCCGTTCGCAATTACCCCTTTGGCTATCAGGTCGGAGGGCGCTGCGGGAACACTGGGTCCACGGCTCGCTTGGCCGCAGTGTCTTGTTGGGGACCCCTGGTACTCAATAAACGCTGTTGGATACCGAGATCATCGTTGTTGGCATGGCGTTGGCCGGACCCGGCGCGGCGACTACCCTCGCTGGTAGCCGTCGACCGCGCTGTGGGACGGCCATCGGATTCCCCTTTAAGCACCGGTCCCCAGACGTTAAGGCGCGTAATCCTCCCTCCTTTCTCCCCACAATGTAGATGCTGAATGCTGGGCTAGTTGGTATTGGTCTTGGGTTGCCAAAGGCATGGTAGCGCTCGTGTCTGTCTTTCTTTCTTTTGTCCTTGTCTCAAAAGCGCTACCATGCCTTTGACAACCCAAACACAATATAGACTTTCATGTGCCATTCAGAGCTAGTCGCCATTTTTTAACATTTTATCCTACTAGAATTTGTGGATCATCGCCACTGTGTCGTATGCAGTCTGCCTATAATATTATGTGCGATTGTGACGTTGATATTTTTCTTGATTTTGTTAGTTTCAACCAGACTTGTACACGTTACAAAAAAAAGTAACCGATTACAATTACAATTACTTCACTGTAAGAAGTAACCGATTACAATTACAATTACAGGCTCAAAGGAGTAATCGAAAAATTACTCTAAAGTAATCGATTACTTCCGACGTTACTTTTCATTAAACTCTTTTATTACGGTAGCATAATCCTTGGGGTCTCGCGCTCATTTGTTCCGAAAAAAAAATTAAAAAAAGGAAGCTTTGACCGCTTTTGCTCTGAGCTGAGTGAGCGATGCCAACACACCCAATCCCTTTCGGGAGAAAATAAAATGAATACAGCACTGTTTAAGTACATAGTTCACAAGAGGCTGGATAAGCTCATTTTTCATAGGCCAAACGTAGTCTCCGGTGTGCCAAAAAAAAAAAAAATGTACCCAGGAAACGAAGCATAGTGAAGTGGCCCACTAATGCTTGAGATCCCGTGCTTAGTGTATTAAAAAAAAAAAAAAAGATAGTTGCTTAGAGTTGAACAACTCCAGCACATTTAACCCTTCCGCCTTCCTCCCCCCCCCCCCCCCCAAACCAAAAAAAAAAAAAAATTAAGAAAACTTGTAATGAGTATTTTTGTAATCGATTACAGCAAAAAAGTAATTCAAATACAAGTAATAAATTACTTGTAACGCATTACGTACAAGTCTGGTTTCAAGTCGTCCTTGAAAAAGTGTATTTTATCCTACCAAGAGTGTGGACTTGTATTGGCTCTGCCAACTTGCATTTGTGTCCTTACAAATGTATGTGTAATTTTGTGCATGTTTGTATTTTAAACAGTGTTGCTGTAAACACGAAATGACAGTGCACCACGCAAAAGGTGTTACAGCTGTTTGTGGGCACCAAAGAAAAATGAAACATTATTATTATTATTTAGCGCGCACACGCAGCGAAAGTACGACGGAAGGCGTTGCGAATGTAGACTATAGTGAGAAAGGCCCGATAATGTAGGATACGAGCTGTTCACTCACCCACGCAGTTGAACAGAGTAGACTGTCCAAAGACGGCCTCCCAGTGTCCGTTTGCTCCGCACAGTATAAGCTGGGGTCCTCGCAACCGAAAGCCGCTCGGACACCTTGGCCAGAACGTGTCCTTGTAGACGTAGGTCCGGTTAAGTCCATCTTCAAGTAATCTTGCAGTGCGGGTTAGGGACGCTGGCGAAGGACACTGCACAACTTATCGCGAAGAATCAGACAAGAAAATGGGGTCAGGATTTCTGATAGTACGATTTGTAGGTCTACTTTAAATTTGGATACTCTCTTAACGAATTAAGGCAGTGGTTCACAGATTGCCCTATTGACTGCTCTCGTGCTACTCCCTTTTTTTAAAAGATTGTTTTAATCGATGGAATGTTGTAATGTATTTAGAGCTAGTTTATACGGGGCTTTTTCAGTAACGCCAAGCTCTCCCCATTCCAGCCTCAAATAGCTTTCCTGTCTACGTATGTTACTTTATTCTGATTTTAGTAGCTAGAATGCAGTACTTTGCTGAGAAAATCTTAACGCTACACTAATCGTTTGTCATGAAACGGACCCAATATAACCCAGCATATTGAGGGAAATGAAGCTCCACAACCATAATTTATTTTCTCTGTCTCTCCCTCCCTCTATTTCTCTTTCCCTTTTTTATCTTTCTCTTCTCTCTTCTTTCTCTCTCCCCTACCCTATCTCTTTGTTTCTCTCTCCACCTGCACTTTTCACAGCTTTAATGTCACTCGACATATTCCGAAATGCCTCAATAAAAGATTACTGAAGCCATTTTGCTCCTAGGCTGAGCTTTGACTTAATCTGTTCATGGGTCCACGCCATTTTGTTCCAAAAGGGTCGTGATTGGCCGAACAAACAAGCCAATCAAATCAAAACCCAAAGGCGCGCATGGCTGAATGAGATGGGTGATGAGCCCATAACGTCCTAAAACAACAAAATAAAAAATGAAATGGCTCGGGTATTCAACTGACAGCTGGCAACTGTAATAGGCTGGGCGACCTATGTCCGCGTTATGCAATCTGCGAGCAAGCGGCAAAACGAAACTAACTACAATACTCTGCAACGCTTTGAGTGACTCTAGGTACTGCAATCTGCCCTTTGAATTACAGGCCTCAATTGCCTTTTAGTGCAAGTCGCTCGAAGCCATAGAGGCGATTCCTATGTAGGTCGTAAAAGCCAATGGCTCTTTCAAGAGAAACCACGGTACGTGGATGTTTCTCACGATTGCATATGGGCTCTGCTACCGTCCACGTCTTTGAGCTCGTGCAGACGGTGGTACTTTCTCCGACCAGTCGATATCCCTCGATGCAGCAGATGGTGCAGGAGGTCCCGACGGCACGATCTTCCTGGCAATCCCTCACGTACCCATTAACAGGAGTGGGGGGCTCACCACACCGTTTGACTGCAAAGTGGGAACCAGAGTGCATATAAATGTGCTAAAAAAGAACACGAGGAGAACAGAAAGACTCATAATTACACAACCCTGTCTTATTTATTCTGCTTGTTACTTTGTCCTCTTCTTGCCCTGATTATTTATTTTGATTATGCACAAACTCGTCCAAAAATGGACGTTGCTTAGGACCCCGAAGTAAGATATATATATAAGTCTGGACACCGCGCAATCGCAGCTGCAAGTCAGAGTCGTGTCCTCAGCTGGTTTCAAGCGGCGACAAAAGATGATTCCTGGATAAGCGGCTAAAGGCAGCCTGTTGCGGTTCTGGTTTCCCGTGCTTCTCTATAGGACACAGGCTTTCTTTCATTGCTTAAAGTCAGGGGGTCTCAGGGAATCCCAGACCCTGACGGATTTCGACGTTGGGGTCTGAGACCCCTCTACGGAGGAGATCCAACCGCCGCGCCCCTATCGACGAAGTTAAGAACTAAATCCATCGGTACAACTTGAATGGTTTGGGCATGTTTTTGACGCAGCGTTTGTATGCATTTGCCCACTAACCCCCCTCCCCCCCCCCCTCCCTAATCGCCCCAACATGGTGACCATAATTGCCACCGGTGGGAGACTTTAAGCACTGCTGTCTTCGAAGGTTGTTTTCTGGGTGATGTAGAACTTGGAACTTGCGCGACGCATCTTGCTTAGATGCTGCTTTGTCGTTAACCTACGGTTCCTCCCTCAACGATGGCAATTACAGTTTTATGAACGTGTTGAAGTGGAGAAATCTCCACCGTCCGTCAAGGTCGAGGTAAACGGTCCGACCGTGAAGAGCGTGCCCGAAAGGAGACAATTTTTTTTTTTTTTTTTTTTTCAGTTGAGGCCTCTGGTTGGTGCAGGGACTGTTGGCTGAGGATGCCGGGGCGCGCGCCAAAAGGGCGTAATGTGTCCCTAACTGTGCAGCCAAGGTGCACAACGGAATTTCTCGGATAGGACAAAGGTAAACATTCTGCAATTTAGAGAAGATTGCAAGCACAATATGGGGAATAAGCGATGTCACGGACAAGAGTGCACGAATAGTGTGAACGGTCCGGAAACGCACGACAGCCGGTCACAAGGGAAGCGCACGCATGTTTCTCGGACTGCAATCACGCAGCCCAGTTCTTTCTTCAGCAAACAAATCAGGATGCTGCTAAAACAATCGCAGCGGTGCCTCTACATGCCTAACAAATACTTAGAAGAAGTGACATTATTTCATGTGTGTCGACTTGGGCATTTCCTCTGGATGGATGAATGCCCAGGTCCACCTTGAACGACGCTTACAAGTTTCTCAATACTCATCGGTGCGCAAACCCAACGAGTAATATGCAAGTCGCCTTTAAAAGTTTTCTTTTGCTGCAGGTTCTCTAAAGAAGCATGGCAACGGGCGCGGTGGTAGGGTCACTCACCGACACATTGGGATGTGACCCCGGACCAGGTTCCATTTACTTGGCAGGTTCGGATTTCGCTTCCTTGGGCCGTAAGTTCGAATCCTTCATCGCACTCGAACACGCACTTGCCCCGGTACGTCGTCACGCACTCACCGACAATGTATCCGTGCTCTGGCGGTGTCAGTGGGGGGCAAGTCACCGCTGCGTACCATTGCAATACGAAATTAATTTGATGATTAAAATAAAGTACTTTTCAATTAGTGTATGCTACAGATCTATACTGCAAACTGCGTCTGTGATGTGAAACAAAGGCGAGGGTCGATAGAGTTTTTAAGTAAAAAATAAAATATGATTTCAAAACAGAGTGCTAATGAACGCCCCAGCTCGCAGTAAAAGACAGCGAGAGAGACGGGCAATCCAAGGGTCGTCGGGAATGAACAACCACCGCAGTCTTTAGAATAACGCAGAAGTTACCGAAACGTCAAATTTCAAAGTCTAATGGTTTGTGTAAAAGGATGTACACTAGAAACATTATTAGGATTAATTGAAGGCACTGGATTCTGGGAAATTAGCTTCAAAGTTCCCGAATTGGGGCTATTCTGGTCAGTGGAATGAGCAGTTTCTCGTTGACCTCTCAAGTCTTGGTGATCTGATCCAAATTCACGTTGGTAGGTGGCTTTATAAGAACAATTTTTATATACAGAGATTTTGTGATCCTCAAACCTGCGAAACAAGCGTACATCTTCGCACCGCTACATATGCAGGGTCAATGCTGAACGGAATTTCAAAGTGATCTTCCTTACATGAAATACGCACGAAGAACAGTTTTAGAGTAAGATATTTCCGGAAACAAGTTATATTGAAAAGTTGTTTCCATATTTAGTGCTAAAGATGCTTATAATGGCGGCAAACACCTTCAGTTGTAACGCCACACTGTTGCAACCGACTAGGAACGCCGGACTGTTGCAACCAACCAGGACTGAGTCCGACAAAACCACTCTTTAAGCCTCTTGCGACGGCTTATGGCCGTGCCGCGCAGCACTAATGGAAGTCGTAAGCGGCTTCAAAAGCTATTTTGTTAAGCTCGGTCGTAGTCGCTTGCAACAGTGAGAACCAGCTTTAACACCCCTTAAATGCATGCCCAAACAGCAGCTCCAGGATAAACTTGCGTATTGTACTACCCCAAAGGACTTCGATAACATCCCCGCAGTTGATTCTTGATCTGTATCCCAGCACTACGGAACACGCCGAGAGGCTTAATTGTTGATTGCTGTGCATGTGCTTATCATGCGAGCTGTGCTATTTCTAGGTGGTGTCTAATTTGTATTTAGGTTCCTCGGATCTTTTAAGGTACCAGTAGGTACCTGTCCCTACTACAATTGCTTCATGAAGATGCTTATTTTCCTTATTTGGTTGATTTTAGTCGTGGCGTCATCATGGTTTTTGCACTGTCGACGTAAAGAGAAGCGTAATGTTGCCACTTGCTATTTTGTTGATCTGTGAAGCTGGTTTTGGTTTCTTTTTTGTTCCAGAATGTCAGTCGGAGTCTTATCCACTGTGTTCCAGGAAGACTGTATAATGACAAAAAAAACTTCAGGTGACTAGAAGTTGCCAATGGGCTGCCTGTCCGGGTAGCAGCCATCAGCTCAGCAAAGGCCTGCAGGCGTATCAACCCCACCTGTTTCTTTACTGCCATTCGAGACAAGATGCTTTGTAGAAGGTAAAACAGGGCCCACGTACTGCTTCCGCCGGGCCCTGCTTGTATTTATCTGACAATTCGTTTTTCTAAAAAAAAAAAGCACCATTACAAACTGTAATGTACCGAGCAAACGCCCACTCTGAATTGCAGATAATCATGAAGAGCGGGGAAATCGAGTAGGTACGATAGCGAAGGTGAATACGGTCAGGTGGCCCCTTGGTCTGACCACAAAATTACGAATAGCTGCCGTTTGCGGAGCTAGTTGATTGCGCGAACACGTGGCAAAGAAAGCATCTGGCATTTTTTTTTATTACAAAGAAGCATCCTAAAAGTTTGTCGATTACGCATTGGCTTGTTTTTCTTACTCAAGCCTTAAATGTATTCTTCCGAGTTAAAACAAAAAAGAAACCTATCTTTTTTTTTGCACAACTATCTATGGCAATGAAGAGAAAGCTAGGGAGAAAGGAGGCATGCCGTGCTGACGGCTTTGTGTTAGCGCACCAAGTAGCTCCCGAGTTTTTTTGTTGTTTTTTTTTGTCTAGGTTTTAGTGTGTTTTGGCGTATCAACCACGCAGTTTCTACAGTGCATCTTTTTGTATGAGGATTGTGGTTGAGAGACCTGAACCGAGATCGCCGAGCATGCAGGCATATTCACGTCTTTTCCCAGCGTTTCACCCGTTTTTAAACGTAAGCCAAGGCTTTGACTGAAGCACTCAGATTTGAGGTAAATTTCACCGTGTTCAATCACATAAAATTTTATTTGTCTTGCGATTGACGCAAATAGATAGCGTCGATTCAGGAAAAGCTGCTAATTTCATTATCGTAGACAAGCGCCGAATAATTATGCAGGGACAAGAAGTTAACGTGAACACTGGCGCTCTCGCAACTAACGTTTATTAAAAAAAAATCCCCTATATAACCGTGAAAAACGTCAGTCATGACTACAACTGGTGTAGCCCTCTATAAAGAAATTCATTATTTTGCCGATAAGGTTATGGATCTGTCACTTGCACACTCTTGCCTTTGGCTTTAATCTCAAACGCCTCGTGTAGCTCTGTAGAGATTTTATGTGGGTATCTGGCCAAAAATATGATGTCGTCAAATGACTGGGAGCAAAAGCAGCCTCCGCAGTGCGTGGCCAGATGTCCTGATGGAGGTTGCTCGTGCTGCCGCGTCATGTTCGTGGGTGCGATCGTTAATACACAAGCCTTTCTGATCGATGTATACCGAACCACATGACATTGGAATTTCGTGCAGAACTCCGGTCGTGCATTCTGTGAATTTTTTTGCAATGTTTTGTTTTGCGTTTGTTTTTTGCAAGAGCAAGGGCAGCGGCTGCGTGTATCACACCCGTCAGCGGCTGCCCTTGACCCCGTCATTTGATGACACCAAATGTTTGGCCCGATAGCCAGATAAAGTATCTAGAAAGCTGCACGAGGCGTTTGAGATGAAAGCCAAAAGATACGAGGTGCACGGGGACCTGCTTTTCGCGACGTCAATAATATCTCGAAAAAGAGAACACGCGAGTATGTCTTAGTGCGGTAAAAGATACACAGCATACCACCCTTCATCAGGAAAACTTTATACTCGCGAAGTATTAAAGGAAACCACAGTTCGCCGCCTTCGGGAAACAATGAGCCGCCGAAACTAAAGTCGTTTACACGCTCGTCGCCTTCAGATTTCACCCGGAGTATAAGCTTAAGGGGTTATGAAACGATATCGGCTTCGAGTGTTTATGACTTTGCAGATGCGTGCTGGCCCTAGTTTGGCCAAAGTATATACTCGCACAGACCGCCACTGATTCACAAGATTTTTCGTCGTGGTGTAAATGCGAGGATCGAAGGGGGCTGTTTCTTTCAGTTTTTCCTTCGTGGAGCTTATCCACGTAATTTTGCGATCGAAATCGCCTGCCTGACGACAATCCAGCGCAACTCATCAATTGGACACGAGAACTTCGTGAGCATTCGACTTCGGCTCGTAACAAATAATGAATGCGTCGGCGGACACTCGAGTGGTGGCTCGTGTCCAACCGTTGCCGTGATGACAATAGCCTAACTCTAACAATGCCTGGATTTTTTCACGCGCTTCAAACTTTTGCAACCCCAGTGCGTGGCTATGACTAACGTTGGTGTCATAGGATAGGCTCCAGAACTCGTGGCTGCTTGTTCCGACTCCGAGTTGAGGGGATGAAAGGTGCTCATATTTCTTGAATGTTTTTTTTTTACTGCCCTTGCCTAGATAGAAAAATCTTAGAGAAGTTTATTCAGTTATTAACGTGAGCAAGTGATACTAAGTTGTATTTACCGAAAGTTAAAAAAAAATATTTTCACGACCCCTTTAAGAATCGGTGCTTCGTAAATTCAACTGGAATCGAGCGCCGTGCCAGCTGACGCGCGGGGACGTGTAACGCATGATGCGCGGTACACCTTAAAAAAGACGTCTGAGCGTGGTTCTTTTCCCGTAGGGTACGCGGTGGCCAATCAAATAGATTCCAACTGAAAGCGACAAAAAAAAAAAACAAAAACGACGGGGACGCGAAAATGGGTCTGAATTGAAAACGCGACCTGCGAAGGTACCGCTATGGTACGCGGACCATCCAAGTTTAAAAGTTGAAATTTAACGCGGTACCGAGTATCCAGAGGTACGTCCTAAACGGCGATCTCTTTTTTTTTCAAGATCTATTATAATGACGAGATGTCATGAGTATTGCGAAAGACAGTTTATGCTAATTATGATTTCTGTAGATACATGCTCCCGCTTGCTGCCGGATGGTCGTTGTACATATATTACGTTAGAAGTATTAGCTACAGCGATTTTTTCGCCCATTGCCAGCCTTTGCTATTATTTGTCAGCGTTTCTGCGTTCAGCAAGACACCCGGGAGCGAGCTCATATACCAGCGTGCATCCTTACAATATATATAGTTTTACTTAAAATTTGCTCCTGCAAATTACTGGGTGGGGGCACTAGTCCGGTAGATGAGGCACATTGCGGAAGCAAAATGTTGAGCTCATTGCGCCTGCGGAGATAACGAGCTTTGAAACCAAACCGTTTGTGCACTAAATCGTTTCAAAAGATATCGGCAAAATGACATCTGGCTTCCCGTTTGCTTTAAGAATAAAGTAGGCGCACGTGATTTTTTTTTTCTTTTTTAGATCGCAAAGTCAGGTTTGTTTTTGGGCGCAAGCTCTCGAATAACTTGGCTTGCACATATAAAAAAAGTAACCAATTCCGGTTAAGAAAGTTTCGGGAAAAAAGAAAGATCTATACGCACCGATACATTCTGTTCCGTTAGCAAGATAACCGCTCTGGCATCCGCAACAATAGTGTTGAGAACCATAGATGCAGAGTTGTGCGCAATCGCCATAGTTGTTTCCACAGGGGCTACCACGCGCTAGCCTCCACAGTGGAATGCCATCTTGAGGAGAGTCTTCCAATTCTGAAAGAAGACACAAGTCAACGGATTTAAAAGAAAAAAGTTAAAGGCGTCAAACTGTACTTGGTCGAACGTACAGCGTACGACATTGGGGAACGTGAAGCCGCGAGAACACGTTCATTCATACTGCCTTAGTTTTGCATCCAAGAATTTCGGGTAATATTTTGTTTTTCACTAAAAATCACGTCACACTTGCTGAATCAAAGTTTCGCCGCGACCGATGAAGTTAACCGAAAGAGGAATAACTCTTTTAGTTTAAATTACCTCTTTTTTCTAAGAAATCTTTTAAGACTGCAGTAAAGAGGCTTAAGCCACAGTCCCATTGCTAATACATCATACAAAAGACGCGGTCCTTTTAAGGCTAGGTGGCCCAAGCTACGGTGTGATACAAAGGGTATAGCCATTACCATCCATCCATCCACCCACGGTTTTCGTCACAGATATGATGACCGAAATATTTGCGGACACGACACAAGCACATTCGAAGCATACGTGCTTCATATGGGTAGTGCACGAAAGCACCCAGTGTCAAAAACCCCGTATCAAATGCCCCGCGGCGAACGGCCCGGCCTTTTTGCCCCGCTTTCAAAATGCCCCAGTTTCAAAAGCCCATGACGCGAATGCCCCGTGTCAGGTGGCCGGGTCCTAAGCGCGAGGGCGGAGAGTTCTGCTTTTAACTAAGCGACAGTAAGTGCGCACGCGAGCTGTGTAACAATGATGCCGTACCCGGGACTCGAGTAAAGAATAAATGGATATAGTTTCTCCTTCTACAAGCGTGCGCTCTACATGTTCACATCTTGTGGCGACGGTTCTGTCAAAACTTAACCCGCAGATCATGGCGCTGTACTTATTACATATACAGCCCCAAACACCACTTTTATTCTTACGTCGTTTTAAAATATTTGCATCTATCTAGGTAGATAGTCTAAAATTCTACGTCTGAGTATATCTGAGTATCTGAGTAATTGAACACGGGGTTTTTGAAACGTAGGGCTAATGTCGTGGGGCTTTTGCAATGGGGATTCTGCACGCGGGGCAATCGTGCTACACCCGCTTCATATATATGTAGGATACTTGGAGGATGTTTGTTGAGAGTTTTTGTATGGCCAATGTTCCACGGCCGTCAAACAGGAAAGAAGAAACAAACGCTCCTCGGACAATGTTTACAGACTGCCCTTTGCACGATGTATGAGAAGGGTGACCTCGGCTTGTATCGGAGGTGCATTGTTTAATTATTCATGTGTACATCTGCAGTAACCTCATTGTATTCCTATTCAAGCGGAGCGGTCTGATTAGAGAACAATTACGAAGAACAGATTGATAAGAGCATTCTTAAACAAGACAACATCGGTAATTTTTGCGCTCAAAGCGAAGAGGTGATTCCGGGCAGTCGACGATTCCGGGCAGTCGACGAAAGAACAGCGAAAAGAGGACGTTTTAAGCTTGGGAATACCGACCTTATGACAACGATCGATGCGAAACGAGATGTAAATGGCGGCTTTATTATTTTAGGGCAAAGCACGTTGGTTCAACATTTTACGAAAAAAAGACACAAACAAAAGGCTTTTTGCGGTTGTGCTGTAGAACCGGCAGACCTAAAGAGTTTTTTTCATGATAGCTATAGGCTTGCAGTGCGGCTATGGTTGGTTAGGACAAACCGTGCAGAGCGCTCTTGAAAGGATACATTCGAAGCGATTTGCGAGATGAAAGGCCGGAGATACAAATGGCAGTGAAGTATTTCAAAGGCTCGTTCGCGCACTTATGACTGCTTACGACCGAATGTGTTGCGACCCCTTGTGATCTCTTTCTCGAGAGGACACACTATCGGATAGCCGTGGATGCCTCGCGATTTCTTTATACTTTCTATTATTTTACGCTTCATTCTTTCACTACAAGTTTGAAACACTTTTGACGACGTTATAAACGACTGTTTCTCATGGTAGTACGTACATTTGATCTCGGAAATTCTGCAAAACATGCGTTCTAGTAAGCAGTCGCAAGTGTGTAAAGCAGCCATAAGTATGGACGGATCAGTGTTCTGTACAAAGTGACATTCAGTAAGGACGGAGCAAGTGAGAAGTTTTTTTCGAACGGTATATCTCACCTGTGCCGTTGAGACATCTGGGCGGCTTCCAGGTCCACGCCACATTTAAGCACCTCATGGGTTCCGTCGACGTGATGTTGAAGCCGCGGTTGCAGTAAAACTCGAGTCGATTTGTATTTCTCCTCACAACCGCAAAACCATTGCGCGGGGCGGGCGGAAGCCGACAACCTGAGAAGCTGTCAAATAGGCTGAACCTGTTTTCGGCTGAGCGAGGACGTACGTCCAACGTCAAGATCTCCTCCTCGTTGTAAGGGCAGGGCGTTGTCCCCGGTACCACCGGGACTCGAATCGCCTCCGTGGCAGTCGTCCCCTCGGTACCACCTAGATACGAAGAAAGTAAACAGAGAGAGCCCGGGGGTTTCAGTCACGCAAAGCTCAAAGCCGCAGTTTCACTGCTCATTCAGCGTAAAGATTACATGTTGTTCACGGCAGACATGACGACAGAATTACCTGCGGGGGCGCCTCAGGCTTGTTTGAACCAATGTTCGCTTCATAGATATGAACGCATCGAACACGTTCCGCAGACAGGTTTCTTTTTTTTTTTTTTTTTCATAACCAATGTGCAGCGCAAGTTGGTGTGGTTCTTTTGCAAGGGGTTGTGTTGAAGTCAGAACGCTGAGCTGAGATTGGTTCTGAATGAAGGATCGTGGGTAGACCTCAAGGCAGCTTGTTTTGAGGTCTACCCACTTTCCTTCAATAAAGGCCGATCAGAGATCGGCATCCTTTTGATGTTACCAAACCTCCTGCATAGGAAGCAGACGACTTGCTCTCCTCATAAGACATGGCAGTCATGCAGGGAGGAAAGTTTCAAACACGCTCCAGAGAGCGTCTGCAGAATGTTTTTTTGTATGGTGTATTAACGGTGCGATCGCGGCTTAAAGGGACACTCAACTGGATGATAATGTGATGAAATGAAAAGGTGCAAGCGAGCTGGACAAGAATGATGAAAATAATCCCTGGAGAAGGGGAGCAGGACCAGGCGGATTTTTTCGGTCGCGCACCAGCCATCTAGCCGTGATTGGAGATTTGTGTTTGTCCTTTGTCCTCCTTGTTCCCATTCTCCAGGGATTATTTTCATCACTGAAACAGATAACGAGATATGCTGTGATACGGTGGTATGGTGGTAGCTGAATTTACGCGTTCTAAGCATCCTAAAAAAAGGAAACCCCGACATTATACTCATGGGCGGCCGATTTCCCTATTAAAAAAGTAATCAAAGATCGCGACGCTCCGCATTTTCTGCGCCTTGGAGCAGGCACCAAGGGGGCGCCGTCCAACGGCGCTTTCGATGAATAATTGCTGTAATTACGTCTCCCACACCCCAAACAGTTGACTTTTTTTTTTTGTCAAAATATAATGCAGAGCACACCTAAAAAGAGCAATAATAGTAACGCTCGGAACCTACACGCGACAATGAACTATTTTCATTAGTCAAAATTTATTTAAGTGGTGAGGAACACAAGGACAATCCCCTCCCCCCTCCCCAAGAAAAAAGAGTTCCCGTGTATTCCCATTGACTAAAAATGTTGCTTTAGAAGCTAAAATGAAAGGCGTTCATGGTAGGAAAATGTTAAATATATCTGAAATAGAACATATGTTTTAAAAACAATTGCACCGCAATATTTTAGAGCAAGTAGTGCACGCACATATATAAGAACTATTAGAACTAAAAAAAAAGGAGTCAGATATCAGGAAGCATAATAACTGAAGACGAAGTGTTCATACCTGCAAAAAGTAGTTGGAGGCAAGCGACGATCTGGACCACTTTCTTCAAGCCGCACACCGAATCCATCTTGACGTTGCCGTGACGCAGTCACCAAACGCCAGACTAACATTAAGATTTGAGCAAGCCTCTATCACATAAACTATACCATTTGCCCCCCAAAAACTTTGAAGATAAGCCGGCGTAAGTTAATTAGTCACTACCAAAGCAAAGGTTTTCTCAGGATAGCCGTAATATGACGGCGCTTCCGGAACGCACTGAGAGCCCGGCGTTGTACGTTTAGGCAGAGCGCCTGAGCGCGGACATTGCCATCCGACACCCATTATCAAGCGAACGGCGAGTCTGCAATCCGAGTTTCGGCTCGTGTTTGCATGGTTTCAGTTCCGTCTCCGCGCCCAGACTACTCTGATTTTGGGTCTTGTTTTTTTAAACAACCCTTCGAGGAACCCTTCTGATAAAACACGGCATCGCCTCGTTGGCGGCATTCAATTTACAGAACAACGGGCATGAATTTCTTTTTCTCTTTTTTTCTTGTATCTTGAGTCGAGGTTCTGTGGTGTCATTGAATCAGAAAGGCTTGCCGAGCTCTTCCTTCATGAATATAAACAAACTTATCACGTAAACGTTTCTTGCTTTTTGACTGGTTCTTCTTCCGCGTTCTCATCGGCCTGATGCCGCATTCTGATTGGCTGTCGAGTAGTAATAAGATGCTCAAGGCTAACTACGGCCTAGGTTTGTTAAGCTCCGATTATAGCCCTCTTTTTCGCAGGGCGACCTTAGGTCACTTTGACCGCCAGTTGTCCGGAAGCTTAACATTAAAGTGGGCCACTCTGACGTCCGCGTATTTTCACTGAAGCTCTACCAGCTTTAGCACGCAATTGTGAATGCGGCTGAAGGCCCGTTCACACTCTTGCAACCGAGTGCGACCGAGAGAGACCAAACCGGTTTTTAAGCCTCTTGCGACCTCTTAGGACCAGCTCCGCTCAGTGCATCCGGTCCCAAGAAGTCTTTCTCGGTCGTACTCGGTTGCAAGAGTCTGAACGCGCCTTAAGGAGGAGAGATCTTGCTCGAGGCCGGACAGCGATTTTTTACCCTGCAGTCACTGACAAGTTGGCAATGCCTGGGAGGAGTTTCAGTTGCCCTGACTCCAGGGCGCACACCCTGCCTTCGATGATGCTTCGGATTCTTCGGAACCTCGAACGTGCGCGCCCAGTCAAAGCACGGCAGAGGGGCATCGAGCCCGTGCTGGAGGCTGGAAGCTCGAAAGGGACGCCCCGCCGTTCCCATGAAGCTTTTTCGAAGCATGGGCCGCTCATTGACACTAAGAATGATTCATTCGAAAACAATGATCTAAGTTCGAGACTTTAAAATGTTGTTATTTCGTCGTGGGGAAAGAAAAAGCTCGCAATTGCTCGGAAATAATTGGAAATGGAAGCTCGAATCCCGTAGAAAAGCAGCTGGGGAAGTTTTGCTCATAAATGCTCGACTCCAACAATAAGCAGATATTCAGTCAATTTACCGGATCAAGTTGAAGGTTACAATAATCGAATATGAAGATAAAAATTGTCTTTCGTATACGTTGATAGATGTAAAAATGGACTGAGTAGTTCATTTCATAATCTCGCAAATTTTTCGGCATAGATTGAAGTTTTTTTTTAGTTTTTATTTTACAAAATTTCTGGGATATTGTTAACTATGTTTGTCACAAAGTTTTCTAAGGAAGACGTTATTTGTCTGCAGTCCAAGCGAAGCGACAGATCATGAACACGGCGAACCGTCAGTGCGTAGAAGAGTAACCGTTTAGCCCCGATTGCACCCTAAAGAGCAACATGTCCGGCGACCTCCCCCGCCGCCTAATCTCGAACCCCTCCAACAAGGAACTTCTCAAGTTAAAGAAGCTCGCTCACCCCACGTATCACCGAACGTCGAGCCAGAACGTTTCCAGTGTCTCCAAGATGCGGTCGGTGGCCCTAGCCGTCGCGCTCTTGCTGATTCTGACCACGAGTCCCGCAAGATGCCTGGGCCCGTTTCCTCGAAGCACGGTCTGCGGTCCCATGGCAGCCATCTTGAACAAGGCGTTAGAAAACCAATAAATGACGACAGGCCCCCGTGAGGTAGCCGAAATATTATTTCACGGTTGGATGGCTCGAGCACCATCACGTTAGTAAAACATATAAAATAGCGCAAAAAGGACAAGGACGAGAAGTATACAGGACAGGCGCTAACTTTCAACTACTTTTATTCAGGAAAAGTAAACATATATGTACACACGACAGGCAAAGCAGCACCACGTAAAAGTTGATTAATTTTTTACCCGATCACTCCAAGAACTGAAATTTATTACACAAAAGTACACTAGAAGTGTCGCTGACGCATGCCGTCCCCCTTTTTTTGATAAAGTGGGACGGCATGTTCCAATAGCTCTCGAGCGACCGTCTCTTGTCTTCTCCCCAGTATCCTCATCTGCTGAAGTCGCGGAACACAGCCACACGTGTTGCAATGTATTGGCAAATGCGAGCCATATTTATTTTTTTACTGATAATGCGTGTTCCCGTGCTCGATCGTTGATGCACCGCCCCGTCTGGCCGATGTATACCTTTGCACAACTCAGTGGGAATTCGTAGACCACTCCCACTGTGCAGTCCACGTAAGAAGTGACGTGTTTCTTATCACATGGCGCTTTTGCCTTCTCATCAGAAATGCGGGCGCACAACCCAGTCAACTTCTTTGGGGCAGAGAACACAACGGGAACATCGTACTTGCTTGCCACTCTCTTCAGATTGTGGCCAACCTTGTGGATGTACGGAATAACTTCTGGTCTTTTTGTTCTCTGCCTCGTTGGGACCTTTTTTTTTTCAACCCCTTCATTATTTGTAGGGCGGTCTCCCCCACAGAAACCAAAACCGAACGCGGGAAGCCAGCCAATTCCAGTCTAGAAATTTGATATTTAAAACTAGCATCCTCCTGATGGTCACAAGACTTCAGCAGCAGTACAGACTCCAGGCAAGAAGTTGCAATAGCTCTCTTAACAGTCTTTGAGTGAGCGGAGTCAAAATGAAGTAACCCTTTTCGCGCGCGAGGTCTATACATCCAGCAAACACGTCGCTCGTTGATGGTGATGTTAATATCTAAAAACTGCCAATTATTGTTGTCAGGGAGCTCATGAGTAAAAAGTAAACTTTTCCCATGTTGTTCAAAAGCTGACAGAATACTTTGTGCTGTATCACAGTGCGACACAGAGGTGTTAGTTTTTAAAAGTACAAGAAAATCGTCCACGTATCTAAAAACCTTAAAAACATTGTCGGCGTCTTAAACACGATTCAATGCACGATCAACAGCGGACAAAAACATGTTACAAATCACCAGAGCGACGCATGACCCAATACAAATGCCCTTGCGCTGAATAAATGGCTTGTCATCGAACGACACAAACGTGCAACTTAGATAAAATTCCAGTAATGCCATGAAGCTATCCAGAGGAATACCAGAAGCATTCTGGAAAGCCACCACGCCACTTGCTTCGATACACCCGATGACAGAGCGGTACATTTCTTCATGCGGCACTGAATAAAACAAATCCTCTACATCAATAGAAAAAGCGTAAGCAACAGAATTGTTACTTCTTAATTCTTCAATCACGTCCAACGAGTTCCTGGTCGCGAAGGGGTCACTCATAGTAAGTCCATTAAGGCGTTGTGTCTCAATTAACTTTTTGATTATTGGTTTTAGCGATCATTTCGAAATTGCATGCATTCACGGCAATTGATACTAAAGGCTAAACGCCCGTGTCCTCTACGCGAGCCTAGAAGGCTTGATCTGCTCATCGCGTGGGTTCGGAGGGCCACTCACACGCTCTGTTGGTTGTCGGTCAATCACTCGAGGCCTCCGCCACTTCGGAAGTCCCGAAAAGGAGAGACTCGAGGGTGAGCGGGCAAGTCACGCAAGCTTGGGAAAGCGCGCGTGTCGTGTCCAAGGTCGTGTAGTCTTCCAGCATTCCTGTGGATTGGATCGGATTCCCGCGGCTCTTATGTTAATACAATAAAATATATATTCTTAAGTTCTCAGTGTTTATACATACAACTAAAAGTCTCACTCTTGCGCACTGCACTCTATTTTTTGTTTTCGATCTACAAATGGGGGTCTTGACAAAGAAAGTTGAACCGGGTCGGCCGGGACGCGTGCTTCGACGCAGGAATCTCCCAAACCCAACCGAGGCCGGATCTCTTTGGCCTTCCTTCCGAGGCCACGGCGGAAGCGAGGTCGGCGGCTTCGTGAGCCACGGGCGCCGCAAGAGAAGACGGGTAGCAGGCACACCATTGGCAGGTGGCGTATGACGTCAAGTCCGACGAGCACCGACGTCAAAGAAAAGTGGAGAGGCAAGGAGGAAAGTCGTGAGTTTGGCTTGGCCGGTGTCCAAACAGACATACGACCGACGACTCCGGACGCTTCAATTTCGACGATTTTTGCAGGAGTCGTGTGGCCTGACGATTTTTGTAGTAGCCATCTTGGAAAGGCCTTTAGAAGGAAGGCAATCGTCAAATTCGGTGTGGAAGTCGCCGACACCAACAAAGCTGAACTGCTGAATCCTTCACTAGGTCGATTTTTGTGAAGGTCTCAGACCCATGTTACGAATTCCCGATGTCTTGAAGATGTGGAATGGGGTAACGGTCATGGCACTGTCACATTGTTGAGAGAACGATAGTCAGCACATGGGCGCCAATCGCCGGATTTTTTTGGTACCATCTGTAAGGCTGATCACTAAGCACTTGTTGAGAAACGTACGATGCCGAGTTCGATCATATGTTCGAACTCCTTCGCGCGATCTTGAGCCAATCAGGAGCAAGGCGTCAAAGTTGTGCGAAGACTGGTGGGTCAGTTGTCTTTATATGGTGTATTATGGTTTGCTTTACTGTCTCTGGTGTGTTGGATTGTCGGAGTAGTTGAGGAAACTCAACTAGAAGCGACTTGCGAGGAGCCTCAGAGACTTGCGTCGATATAGTGAGGTTGAGCGACCTCGTCACGGACAGCCCTTATTCTTGAAGATGTTGACGTTCCGGAGAGCAACACAATGGTTTGCGACATTTCAACCGGCACCCCTCGACCATAAGTACCTTCGAATTTCCGGCGCACTGTGTTTGATGCTTTACATGTGTTGTTAGATCCTGGTATACGTGCTACTCATCATTTGAATACTTCACGTTTTGTTTGGCCAGGAATGAATGCAGATCGCACGGCGGTGGTCACAAACCTGCCTTGAATTCCAGAAAGTGAAACTTCACCGACACGCCGTCACTCCTTAAGGCGTTTTTCAACAGCTTGACGCTAGTCTCAGCCATGTACACCTAGACGTCGTGGGACCGTTACCATCGTCTCGAAGTTTCCAGCATCCACTCACCTGCGTCGACCG